CAATTTCTTCCGCACATCTTCGCCCAGTTGAATTGGACCGATTGCACATACATCTACAATTGATCGCAAATACGATCCCCTTTTGTGTAAGAGGGAATCAAATGCCATAACGCCAACTACTCCCCAAGTCCGGTTGATGGACCATTCTGGTATAATTCTTTCCCGCCCGTTAAATGCTTAATGTTGAATGCTACCGATTCCCGCCAGTCTTTCCAGTAGAACTTTTTTGGTATAGATCCCCTTTGAGAACCCTGCCTGTTAAACGCCGATGTTGAAATCGATTATGCAGCTCCCATGGAAATTTTTAGCAGGTAACTCCCCTCAACCTCATGCTATTATCATCAGTTTTCGTAATAATTGAAACACTGGCCTCATCGATTGAGAGCCATTTATTTGGCGTACTTCGCACGGAAGTACTTGGCCGCGTTGACCATATTGACCAACGCTTCCTTGGTCTCCTTCCACTGGCGGGTCTTGAGACCGCAGTCTGGGTTGATCCAGAGCTGCTCAGGTTTGAGGTACTGGAGCATCTCCTCGATGCGGTCCTTGATCTCCTGCTCGCTGGGCACACGAGGGGAGTGGATGTCGTAGACACCAGGACCAATGTGGCGAGGATAAGCTTCCTCAACAAACACACCCAGAAGCTTAGAGTCAGACTTGCTGTTCTCAATGGAGAGCACGTCAGCATCGAGGGCAGCAATGGCGTGGAAGAAGTCCTGGAACTCAGAGTAACAGAAGTGAGAGTGGATCTGAGTTGAGTCTTCGACGCCGACGGTGGCGAGCCTGAAAGCCTTAACAGCCCAGTCAAGGTAGGCCTCACGCTCCTTGCCGGAACGAAGAGGTAGACCCTCACGGAGGGCAGGCTCGTCAACCTGGATGACATCAATGCCAGCCTTCTCAAGGTCAACGACCTCGTCACGAAGGGCCAAGGCAAGCTGCTCGGCCTGGACGGACTGGTGGACGTCGTCACGAGGGAAAGACCATCGCAAGCAGGTAACCGGGCCAGTCAACATACCCTTCATGGGCTTCTTGGAGACCGACACGGCGTACTTGGACTCCTTGACAGTCATAGGGGCAGGGCGAGAGATGTCACCGACAATGATAGGAGGTCGGACACAGCGAGAGCCGTAGCTCTGAACCCAGGCGTGCGTGGTGAAGGCATAACCATCTAGACGCTCACCGAAGTACTGAACCATGTCGTTTCGCTCGGGCTCACCGTGGACGTAGACATCCAGGTCAAGCTCATCCTGGATCTTGACGTTCATGTCAATCTCCTGCTCGATGAACTTGTCATACTGAGCCTCGGTGATCTCTCCCTTGGTGAACTTGTTTCGCTGAACTCTGATCTCCTTGGTTTGGGGGAAAGAGCCGATTGTGGTTGTAGGGAATAGAGGAAGGTTAAGTTTCTTCTGTTGTTGGGCAATTCTGGAGGGGAATTCCGACTTGCGGTTGTAATCGGAGGGGGCAATCTTGGACTGTCTTTCCTTGACCTGGGGGTTGTTGGTTCTCTTGGAAGTAGCACGAGCGTTCATAGACTTGGCGTTAGCCTCAAGAGCCTCTCGGACGGAGGCAGGGCCCTCAGTGACGGCCTTAGCAATGATGGCAATCTCAACAGCCTTCTCGGAGGCGAAAGAGAACCAATCAGCAATCTCGGGGTCCAGCTTCTTTTCGCTGGCTAGTGTATGAGGGGTGTGGAGAAGAGAGCTGGAAGTGGCAACAATGACACGGTCCTTGCCAAGCTTCTGAATAGCGGTCTCAGCAATCTCGATTGCACGCTTGAAGTTGGTCTTCCAGATGTTTCGGCCATCGACAACACCGACGGATAGAATGGTCTTAGGTCCAATAGCACCCAAGACAGTCTCTAGCTGCTCGGGGTTGCGAACAAGGTCAATGTGGACAGCGTAGATGTCCTTGGGGAGGAGATCAAGGTTGTGAACAATATCACCGAAGTAGGTGGTGAAGACAAGGTTGGGGATCTTGCCAGCCAAGCTGGCGAACTTCTCGTAGGCGGGCTTGAAGGCAGCCTTGGTCTTGGCAGGCAGATCGAAAACGAGAACAGGCTCGTCAATCTGGACAGTCTCGGCACCAGCCTCCTTCAGCTTGGTGAGGAGCTCAACATAGACTGGCAGAAGCTTGTCGAGGAGGTCAATGGGAACGACACTCTGGCCACGGTCCGCCTTACCCAGATGGAGGAAAGAGACAGGTCCGAGGAGGACAGGTCGAGTGGGGATACCGGCCTCCTTAGCCTCGAGGAACTCAACGACAGCCTTGGGGTTTTCGGTGAGCTTGAAGGCCTGGTTGTCCTGTAGAGTGGGCTTGACGTAATGGTAGTTGGAGTCAAACCATTTCACCATCTCTAAACTGGGGACATCCACACCGCCCTTTTGGTGGCCACGGCCCATAGCAAAGTATTCATCGATGCGGTCAAGCTTGGCATTGGAGTATCGCTCAGGAACGGCCTGTAGAATACAGGGTTAGCTTATTGGACGATAATGTGTTGTGGGTAAGAGAATTGGTAACGTACACCGAAGTCCTGGATGTGGGAGAGAACCTGGTCGTAGAGAGCAAAGTCGTTGCTGGGGATAATATCCACGCCAGCATCCTTCTGGATCTTCCAGTGTGCAAGACGGAGACGCTTAGCCTCAGCGAGGAGGTCGGCTTGGGAGATGTTGCCAGCCCAGTCTTGCGTGTATGGTCAGCCATTGAACTCAATTACCAGCATCCGGTTTACTCGGGTCCTTCCGGAAGAGCCGGGAGAAAACTTACAAGCTTCAGTTGCCTTCTTCAGGTCACGGTTCACACCCATACGGGGGAAACCCAGAACAGCAGATTGAACCATCTTGACGGTGATTCGGCGTATCTGGGAGAAGAGAGACTTTCTGTGGTAAGTGAAGGTTTAGTAAGAAATTTTCTTGTTTGGAGCTCAATGTGGATAGTGGGATTGGGATGGTGGGGTTGTGTAGAGTACATGTTACTTACGAAAAGATCAGACTGTTGCTTCCAACTCTCTCCTTCTATTAAAGAAAGAGTTAGACCAACTGATATATGGCAACAACAGTCAAGAGAGATGGATTATGTGAGGAGAAAAAAAGGATGAGGAATGAAGAGAAGGAGGAATGGTAGAAAGTGTAAGCAGAAGCAAGCGGTGAAGGAGGGGTTCTTATGGGAAGCTCCAGGCTACTGACTGACAGTCTATGAGGGGTTAACAATTTTTTCAGTTGTCGTGCTATGAGCTAACCAGAGAGGACCAACAGGATGCAGTTCACGGTCCGAAAGCGGGGAGAGATACTCCTTCTTTTCCTCTAGCTGCAGTGCTCTTACTGTTTGGTTGAAGCTGGAGCCCTTGCCTTTTCCACTGTGCCTCTCAAGAGTAGCGGGTAGATAAAGTTGTTAATACCTCAAGTACTACTCCGTCTCGACCCGCCTTTAACCAACTGTTGAGGTACCGCCAAGATACATGCTGCTTATGTCTACCTAACAGAATAGAATTCTGGAACAACGTGCGATTGCGAGTTATCTATTGGTCCTCCAGCCATCCAATTGCGTATTCGGGGTTCCGATAGCAAAATTCAATCAAGAAGCCCGCGAAAGCGATTCGCCGAAACCATCCAGATGTCCATGTTTGTTTCTCCGGGCGACGCAAATCGCTCCGAACATTAGGTAAGATATGCAGAGATTCCCACATGTCAATCGTGGTCGATCGTGGTCAATTGTGGTCAATAGTGTCAACCTACGACCCCTTGTCTGTATGCAACCATAATCAATTCCGCCGCGACCGAGCTGTAGTGTTGATTGCCCGCCTTATCGTTCCCGTTACATTCCCTCACGTTAGAGTCGTATTAGCTCGCAGACTACTCCCGGACTAAATACTAAGTCGCTTCCCAGCCGACAGCCGCATGAGACCGTAACGGGTCTAGATGCTGACATAAATAAGCGGATTTTAGGCGCCTAGTAGACGACGTCGACGCCTGTTTCGCCATTTGCCGTACAACGTCTACCTCGAGATAATCCTGGTGTGTATCCTACTTCAAGACATGTTTCCAGCATTAAAGCTTCTCGACACCGTCAATCCTCAAGTTTAGTGTTGTCTGGGATCGTTTCCCATGTTGCTTCTTCACAACACCGCTCTAATAAAGGGATGGGGAGAGAATCTCAGCCCTGCCTCGATATCATTAATACCCATAGTCAAACACATACATTTGTGTCTAAGTCATACATAGTAATATCCACAACTATCGTCATGTATGTAGGGATGAGAATTTCTTCTATGGTCTATGTTGTTTGGTAGGACGACGATATCAGTAATATCATATCTCAACATAGGAAGAGTCAGCACTCTCTCGACCGTAATAACATACATTGTGCTAGAAAATTACGGTATCAAACTTATTCGATGATATAAAACTTTCTTATAGCTTTGCTCTACAGAAATAGGGTAATTCACCCAAATCCCTTCTACAACATAGCCCAGACTGTCTGAAGAGGTCTCATTGAATCGCATGTGCTCATGCAGTTTAAGAATAGCAAACTTAGCAACGAGCTTTACACTGCGAAATATAGCCCTGGTAATAGGTAGGTATGGCATAACTGGATACTTTCAAAAGAGAAGAGAACGATGGGCAAGGAGATCAACAAGGACAATATGTGCTACCGCAACGGCTTGCGGGTCGATTCGACCAATATCATCGACTAATAAAGCGCCCCAAATTAAACTATCAACGCAACCTTTATATCTCGTATTACTAGGTCCATATGTTCTATATAGACAGTTGGTCAGTCAGTCAGTTTCTCAATTAAGTATATAGCAGTAAGAGTATCGGGCTAGATATAAAAGAGGAGACCTCAAAAGCAGACACTGATTTAAGGGAGACGAATTGTTTCCGTTTTATATCGAATTAAACCTAGAAGTACTATATTTCGACTGCTAAGATGAGAATAAAGCATGGCTAAAGAGGAGAGAAAAAAGATAGTCCCAGTTGAACTGGGAGCCATGGGAATTGAGCCCACGGCGAGGCTCGAACTCGCAGCCTTCAGATATCTGAATAAGAGTCTGACGCTCTACCGATTGAGCCACGCGGGCTTGCTACTTAAGAGCAAAGAAGTTATCATCATTTGTTAGACCCATCCTGTGGGTTAGGTTTTAGTTGTGAGTTACCTTCGCTTTTTTCTACATAGTAGGACCCGCAGCTTCACACTATGTGTCATAGTAGAATCCGCTTCTAGAAAAAATTTGTACAAAGCTTACAGCCACCTGGTCCAAGCTAGAGAACTAATCGAGTCAAAATCTTCGTTAATATTCACATATTTCCTAAGACTCCTGCATCAATAATTAATAATCCGAAAACTGCATCGCTCAGTGGTCTTGAGTTTGCAGATCATGGTAATACTACTATCAGTTCGGGTTCGGTTCATATGAGCCCAGAGAGTCAAACTGCGATGTTCTCGGCATAATGTGAGGATGACAAGAAATATGCTTCATTAGAATATCATGATATTCCTTAGGTGGCAGAAATGTAGAATTTTATAACCATTAAACTATTCTGAATAATATATTATATACCATTATTATGCCAGAGTAATAGAAAATAGTATTCGATTACAACGTGCCCATGTTCAGTTGAATATCATGAGCGTTAAGTTGAAGAGCATATTAGTACAAACCGTCTTATAATCATCATTATGGATACGCCAATGCATGCATGTGCATTTAGTTATAGTATGTTGAAAGAACACAGGACTAATTTCCATGAAATCGTAGCTTCAGTCCCTCAATGATAGATATAAGATTATAATATAAGATTATGAACGCTAACGACATATTCTATATTAACGATTGACAACTACATCTACTTGTATGTGTTAATGTAAAATTCGCACATGGTCAAGTGTGACTTCCAGTTCGAGTAAAGGGTATAGAGAAGAAGTTTAAAACCTCCAAGCCTGTGACGACTTCATACCCCCGATGGCATTGTATTAAGAAAGAGCAACCAGTCTTCATAAATCTACCCCTTATCTAATACAACCAAACTGTCAGATGGCAGCTTCTTCTACAAACTAAATTCTCTTATAGTAAGTACGGGATATTCCACCTACCAAGTTTAGTATTTGAAGGAGTTCGAATGTGTACCTAACTTAGGTAAAGTTGGATGGTCTGACGTCTAATGTGCCGAAGCGAAAGCAAACCTCAAGGTATCAACTTTCTCTTCAACTCCAGCTAGATTGCTGTTGAGTCTTTCTTGGAAATTCGTGACAAAATTTAGCCCAACCCCCCCATTCGCTTTCAGTCGAACATCTTGGAGGATGTCTATTTTCTGCTGCTGTCGCGGCCGGCGAACCATTTATAGAGAATCTGACCTAGAGAGACAAGATATTATCGAACTTCCAGTTCACCCGCCACGCGCAAAGTTATCAAAGCTACCTTTGTCAACCTCTGAACCCGAGCTCTCACCGCCGCAGATCGTGACCACAAAGGCGCCATCGCTGTTACATACCTCAATACCAGAGGCCACTGTTGATCCTGCTATCCTCGAAGTTGAAGATTCGGACGACGATGAACCTATACGTAGTACACGAAATTCTAGCACGGGCACTCTGGGTGTCATCAAGACCAGGTTTATTAGACCTCTATCTCAGAAGTCCGAGTCGAGAAGACATTCGCAGCAATCCCTTGGCACGAGCGATGAAGAGCTTGCGCGCCGTGCTGAGTTGAAGCGCCTGATGCATAAGAGAATTCAAGAAGAATTGAAGAGCGAAGAAGAACAAGAAGAAGTCGAGGTGAAGGCGAACAACCTCGAGGCACTCAAGCCGGACAGTTCCACTAATATTGGACTACCTGGTGGTGGACCTCGAGATAATTTAGAATTCTCGGTCTCGGATCCATCTGTGAACGAAGTTGGTTCTAAAGACCCTGCTCTTGTCGCCCCGGACGATGTGTTCCTTACCCTCCCAATTAGCAGTTCTCAACCTGGTATTTCCCTTCATCGAAGTAGTTGTCCGGGGTCACCGTGTCGATCACACGAGAATTCTGTTTCTGAGAATCACGGAACCATAAAAGAAAGAGGTTCTTTACCTCAATTCCCTACTTCGCCACAATTAGCCCCTGTACATTTACCCAGTGCCCGAGGTTCAGAGTCCCTCTATTCATGGCGACTTTCTTATAGCGCTGAGCACCTCACGAACTACCTTGAATTTCCTGATAACTCAAAGTCCGACAGAGATTCCCAACACATAGCGCCTAGTGCTCGGAGTGAGGGTTCTGACAAAGAAGACGATAAACACGAGGACTGCATTAAGAGAGACTCCTTGAATATCCACGAGCCTGTGATGAACATTGAGCTGACCGAGAACGCACAATCGCACGACCCATGCCCAATCCATTGTCAACAACACGATCTATGTATCACGGAGAATTCTGAAGACCCACATACTGAAAGTTCTCACGACACAAGCCCTGGCCAGAATTCACCGTTGTACTTGTGGCTACGCAGCCAAGAGTTGCAATTGCCTTCAGCCATATCAAGCAGAAGGACTAGTGCTATGATATCTCGAATGCTTCCAGGGAGTCCTAGCCTCGATGGTCGATTGAGTCAATCTGAAGAACTCAACACGCCTCATGACTTAGCGGAAACTGTACAACACACTTCTAATAATCTGCTCGAAAAGCCGCGTCTTCCTGAATCGCGTGTCTCTCATGAAGACACAGCAATCGTTCCAATTCACTTACCTGATTCATGGTTTAACGAGCCTCAAAAATCCATTATGAAGGCTACCAACGATACTCCTGCCGATGGGGTACCTAAGCCGGTGGATTACAACTTTGAAGCTTCCTCTTCCCACTACGCATCCTCACGATATACTACATGTACTAGACCCCAGAGTGGTCAGACCGCAGAAAAGGAGCCGCGTTCAAGATTAATTGAACTCCTCGGCGGACGAAAGGCTATATCATCTTTCTCAACCTTTAATCGTAAGTTTTATTATTATTTCAGAGATTCTATTGCGTCTAACAATGGCACTTAGGCCTCATATCCCCTAGCCGTACAACGGACGCCGAGAAGTCAGATAACAGCTCTTACAAGACTGCTCCCAACGAAGCCTCAGCATGGGATATAACAATGTATCGTCAACCAGCAGAGGCAGATTCAGCTGTATTCTCAGATACGGCAAGTTTTAAGCAACGAGAAGAGGAACTTAAGTCGATCGAACAGCGCTTCGGACATGTCCGCCGGAATACGACACCAATCGCTAGCAAGTTTAAAGAGGAATTCGATGAGCCTGCAACACCAACTAATACCAAGAATTCTATATTCGCCAAGTTGCATTTCTCAAAATCCAAGAAAACGAAGCAGCTATTGAAAGACGTTCCGGGGTATAGCATGCACGATGTCAAGTTCAATGGGGGGGAGAACACGTATCCTAGTGTTAGTCATCTTGGTCGTCAAGAGCTAGAGAAAGGTGCCGTTGACAAACTGCTAACACCATCATCTGATATGGGCTAGAAGCCTGAGGATGTGGAGAATGGCATAAGCCCACGACCATGCACCGTTGCACTCGGCGAAGGCGCTCCCGATGACCTCCAATACGGAGAAACCTTCTCTCAGAGTCAGGCTTGCCCTGAGCCTACTCAAGTTGAACAAGAACAGTTCCCTTGCATTTCTAAGCAGAAGACTACTAATCTGGACCGGGCTGATTCGAGAATCGGGGGTGCTCATGCTGCTACCGTAACTAGTCCGAAGCCTAGAGCAGAACTTGGATCGAATCTTAAACTTCCTAATCGTCTTGAAGATAACAGCAGTCAACAATCAAAAATATCGAACAGTGTTCTCAGAGAATGGGTAAATCTTATGAATGGTCAAGACTCTCAGCTCCAAGTAGAGCCGAAAGAAGGGCCTCAAGATCGTACTCCTCAGAGGTTCCGAACTCCTCCTGCGTCATGGGCGAAATGGCCTTCGCACACACGCAATGAACGAACAGGACCAGCAGGTAAGGAAGATAGGGTGATTTCGAGGGACTTCGCAGTTCAGGGAGGATCTAACGCTAGTGCAACCCGGTCTACAGGAAATCCCATCGAGCCATCAAAGAAATATATCACCCCTGCACCTCGAAGTCTGTCAGGCCAGCTGAGCAGGGCAGTGAAAGGAAGTCTGAGCAGAGTGCATGGAAGTCTGCATCGCAATGTGAGAGCTTCTTCGGAGACATTACGTAGTCGCCGGAAACCCGATGGACATCTAGAATACCCTGAGCTCGAAATCCTCCCGATGCAAGGTGGCTACAAGGAATTACAGGCACTCGAACACCAAATCGGCACCATGAAGCGCGGATCTATTGCTGCAGAAAGTCAACTAACCCGACTAGGTAGCAATAGCACGAGAAGCCCTTTGAGCGCCCGCTTTGCTGAGGAAGTCCATATGATGAAGCATATAGCCTCTAGGGATCCTTGCGAAGGTGACGGAGTCGCAATGCCGATTTTGCAGGCTGCCTCCCCTGTGGCCCCCGCGGCTTCTAAGCCGGCACTCCTATCTCCTCAAGGGGGTTCTGAAGCGACTGATCGATTCGCAACTCCAGAGTCCCATGTTAGTTACGAGGATTGTGTGCCAAAACACATGTTGGAAGATGATGAGTCCGCGGACGACACGATGACGGCAGAGAACACCCACAATACACAGGCGGCTTAGTATCGTCTTGCTGGGCCTTTGTTTATGAAGCAGTACTAGTATCCTGACATGCATACGCTCCTTGAACACGACGATTATATGGAAAATACAAAACACAAGGATGACCTGAATGGAAAGGAATAATCTCTCACCGGAGAGTCTATCTACCTGTCTTTAACACGTCTCACGAAGAAAAAAACATAAAAATTAGGATTGAGGGGCCAGAGAGGCATTCAGAACGGATTGGAATCGACTGTTGGCGAGGAGAAATTTGCGCACTCGGTTGCAATGATTGCTGACGGTCGAAGATATGCCATTGGCGAGGAGTACAATATGTGTCATTATGATACGTATTGGGGGGGTTAACCAAGTAGCAGCAGCAGCACATATGAGAGCCTAACTTACCTTTTATGTGTGTTGGCTAAAG